AGCCTCGCCTCCCCCGCTCACATGAGGTCGGTTGGGGAGCAGATGGGGCAGCCGTAGGGCGTGGCCCACAGGAAGTGGAAGTTGCAGCCGTCGCAGGTGCCGTCGGGGCAGCGCTTGGGCAGCGTCACGGCCCCCTGACCGGACTCCTCCAGCGCGCACCGTACCGTCACCGTACTGCGCCGCCCGTCCTCGCATGCGCGCGTCGACCTGCGACACCGAACATGTTTAGGGCAGCTCATTCTTGGGGATCTCCGAACGCAGAACCTGTCTACATAATCATATAGGTTCTGGGATATTGATAAATAACGATCGCATCGACTTGCGACACCGAACATGTTTAGGGCGGCACATTCTGAACCTAAAATAGATAATGAACCTAAAATAGATAGATGAACCAGCACATTCTGAACCTAAAATAGATCTGAACCTAAAATAGGGCAGCACATTCTGAACCTCTGAACATGTTTAGGGCAGCACATTCTTGGGGCTCTCCGAACGCAGAACTTGCCTACATGATAATATAGGTTCTGGGATACTGATAAATAATATATGAATCATTTTATCTTTTACAACATGAATGTTGATTTACTACACCGATGATTTTAACCCTGTACCGCCTGACATGAGTAACCGGAGCAATATTAGTAGCACATTAACATTACTAATATAATATAATAATGTTGGTAATATTAATAATATGTGTAACCGGAGCAATATTGTCACGCGCCTACTTCCCAAAAAGGATATGACTAAAAATAATGACTAAGCGCAAAATGACTTGCACTGATGGTGCCGCCACGTACAACTATAAAATGTTCTCTGTTGCGTACAAACGTCCTCAGGTTGCTACACTCAATAGTTTACGTATAATTTAAGTTGAAAGTTNCGCCCAAGTTAAGAATTTTATTCGGCCATACAAACTTACGCCATCAAAGCTAACGAGCGCAGGGCGTGTCTTGCAGACTTGCACCCGCTGGGCCCTGGGTCCGCTTTATGAACTCTGCAACTTGGGACAATGTAGCTGTTTTCTCCAGAATTCTTTTAGCAGTTGTAAGTTCCACAATAATCGTAAAATCACAGTAAATGGATGAAAAAAATTAAGGAAGTTCTTTTACGAATATTAGGTTAAACGTTCTCGCAATAAATTGCCCAACATTCCGAATATTTTTATTTGCAGTTTAATGAACCGCGCGATGAAAATTTCGTGAAATTTTTTATTACTATCAGATAGCTGCATAATTTGGAGGTGTTGGCGAATTTTACTTTTAATTTAATTAGGAGTGTAAAATTGTGTATAAAGAATATTGCTATGTAGTCCTTCCTATTAACTTTAATTCTTCCTATTTCACGTTCAAAGAAATCGGTGCTGCTTTGCCATTGCCATTTAAAGACTGTAGCGTGTGAGCAGTGCTGCCAAAGGGACTGCAACACTCGTAAAATTTTGAGCTGCGCTAATTCTCTGGCTTAGAGTGCGTGGCGCGCTGCCCTGCACTGCAGAGGCCTTGCTATGGATTACCTGTCATCGCTGGGACGCAGAGAGCTGCCCGTTTGTTTACATCAGAGCTTTTTACTCTTCCTAAACTCTGTACCCTGTCGCTCTCATGCATCTGCTGTTTAGCCTTGGCGCCTTGTGCATCTCTTATAGGCTGTTTCTGAGGCGGAGCGAGTCAGTCAGACCAGGATCTTGGAAGTTCCTTAATACTATAAGCCCAGTATTATTGACAAACGTTTAATTCTTATTCGTAAATTTCTGACCATTCCAGGGCCTATACTTTCAAAAAAAGTTAAGAGATCGTAAGTTCATCAGCCAATCATTGATGGCCTTTCAAGCGAAATCCACCAATCATAGACAAGAAAATAGAGCGTAAGTACTTACGTTCACTTAGCAAGTTTGGAAGATATGGCCCCCGGACTAGAGGTCCGGGGTTCAAATCCTAAAAACTAGCCACAAGCTGTGATGATATTACGTGCTGAGGGCTTGAATATGTGCCATATATAAATATTACTATTCAAGAATAATGGACAAGAAAGATGAACTACCAAAAAGACAATAAACGTCAACCTAAGAAAATTAGAGGGAATCTGTGCAGGATAGGGGGCAAGATATGCAACGGCTTTGAACATAATCAACTCCATAAAAATGTAATGATTTTCCTTGCGACGCATGCAGTAACATTTAATTGATTAGTTGACACGTATCTACAATTACTTTATATTATTTTAGTTTCTATTAATACACATACTTCTCCTGTGGCTGACACGCTGTAATATAAATTTTGCAAATTACCCATACAATGTTACATAACCTACAGCTGTGTGCTTCCTACACTAATTGCCGTAGAAAATAGAACGTGTACACTAATTGCCGTAGAAAATAGAACGTGTACATCCACTGTACACGTGTGTACAGTGCACGCCTTCTACACCCGGCGCAATATAAGGAGAGTATATCCATGGGTGACGTAGTGTACATAGCACCCCTATTATATATACACCCCCGCGCACCAGTGAGAGTATATCCAGGACTAAAGTGTGCAAAGGGCACGAGAGTATGTATGACTTTTGCACCCTTGCGCAACGGTGTGAACTTGGGGTCCTATAGGACACGAAAGTACAACATTTGGGACTCGAGAAACAAAGTGCACGATATAGTATGCCTTTTACCCCTTTGCGCCTTGGGATGAACTTGAGTCCCTATAGGAGACGAAAGTCCCACATTTGCGTCACGGGATGAACTTGGGGTCTTACAGGAGACGAAAGTCCCACCTGGGGACAGGGGAGGCAGGTGGAGGCTCCCCCGTCAACGGTGTTGGTGACGTTGATGTTGAATATTTTAGCGACGTCGCCTTCGTACCGGCGCGACGAGCTCGGCCGCAAGTAGCTCTTCTCCCACGAAACCTGCGGCAAAATCATCCTTTTTATTTTGTCATCTAAAACCTAATAATTCAATTTTCATCGAAGTTATTATCAATATCATCCTTTATATTTATCAGCTCAAACTTCATAATTCAATTGTCTTTGAACTTATTTTTATTAGCACAACATCACTCTCGTGTTTTATCATCTCAAACGGTCAAACCTCATAGTTCAATTGCCATTGAAGTTATTGATTTTGTATCGTCATTACGTAATAAACAGAAGTAAGGAATTTTATATTCCTATCATCTTATTCTCAATCGCATTTATTGTCCAGATATTATAAAACGTTTGAAATTTCGTTCGTTATTTCCTGCCTTTAATTATTTTTGTTTGCTTACATTGCGTTGAGATTAAAACATGAGACCTGTAGCTAAATATAATATGAATAACATAGGCATAACACATTTGCATTAGTAATCAAAGTTGTATCATTTAATTATGGGTATATAATGTAATTAAACGGTTTTTAATTATGAATTAAAGCCGTAAATTTATTGAGGTCAAATCGTTACCTTCTGGAAGGCCCAGGAGAAGGTGAAGGAGTCGTTCCTCCTGACGAGGTAGCTGTAGAACTGCCGAGGCTGTTGACCTGTCCAGCTCTGCAGGATAGTGACGCCCTTCTTGGCTGACCCCTGCAGGTAGAAGGGGTTGGTGATAAAGGGGTGACCCCTTCTTGGCCTACCTCTGCAGGTAGAAGGGGTGAGTAATAAAGAGGTAACCTCTTTCTTGCACCCATATAACCCTCAAGCTGGACCTATTTAACCCTCCACTTGGACCCATTCAAACCTCCAATTAAACCCATTTAATCATACAGTTGGCCCCATTTAACCTCAAATTTAGTTACATTTAAACCACATTTAACCATTTGGCCACATTTAACCCTCCAATTAAGCCCATTTAACCCTGACGTGCCTCCATGAAGACGAACTCGCACTCTGAGGAGCAGTCGAGCTGGAAGGTGAAAGAGATCCGCCCGACCTCCATGGGC